CTGGGTAGGGATCGGGGGGCTGGAGGGTTACAGCAGTGGGGCTGGGAGCCAGGACTCCTGGGTTCTATCCCTGGCCCTGGGAGGGGAGTGGGGTCTAGTGGTGGGACCTGAGGTGGGGAGGAGCCTGGGAGGCCGGACTCCTGGGTTCCCTTCCCCGTCTCCCTGTGAGGCCAGTCCCCTCCCCTGGAGCAGTGCAGAACACTCCTGTGCCCACGCCAGGTTTCTGAGCTCTGCCCCGAGGCCTTGGTTGCCCCTTGTGGTTGCACGAACTGCAGCGTGGCCCTTGGGTCCTGGAGAGAGGGGCAGCCGTCGCCCCCGGCACCGTGCGGGTGACATGGGCCTGGTCCTGTGCCCTGAGCACCGGCCACTGGCATTGTGGGGATCAGCAGCCCCCCACCGCCAGGGGCCTCCAATGGGGGGCCCCCCAGAGTGGGGTGGCCAAGAGCAGAGCGCGGCCCCTGCGGCTCAGGCTACGCGGAGCTCTGTGAGGATCCGGCTCCTCTCGGGCTCCCAAAGGCTCGGGGGGGCCCGGGATGCTGCAGGAAGCCAGGCCTTTCTCCCCGCCCCCCCCCATCCACTCGCAGCCCTTCGCCACTCCCAAGTGTTGGCATCATCGGTGGGCCTGGACGCAGGCCCCCCCGTGGCTTGAGCCAGGCAATGTGGAGCTGGACGGGGCCTCGAGGGGGCATCACACCCACCCCCCGCACTGGGGCAGGGCCAAGTGCACCCATCCCAGACAGAGGCTCGCCTGACCCGTCTAAACCCCTCTGGTGATGGAGACCCGCAGCTCCCCTGGAGCCTGTTCTGGAGCAGAGCCGCCCCCAGAGCTGGACAGTTCCCAAGTATCCAACCTCACGCCCCCTTGCTGTGGATTCAGCCCTTCGCTGCGTGTCCGAGCTTCGTGGAGAACCATCTGTGCCCGGCCTCCTCGCCGGCTGGTCTCAGGGCCCCGCTCGGGCCTCTCAAGACAAAACCTGCCCAGTGGTTTTAACCTTACCAGGTTTCTAACCCTTCGATCGTTTCGGTCACTCGCCTCTGGCCTCTCTCCAGTTTGGCCTCATCCTTCCCAAAGGGCGGTGCCCAGAACTGGACCCGGGACTCCCTGTCGAGCGCAGTGGGACAGGGACCCCCGTGTCTGACCTACGGTGCTGCTGTTAACCCAGCCTCGACTGAGAGCAGCCTTTTCAGCAGCCGCATTGTGTGACCCACACTGCCCCCTGGCTCCTTCCCAGCCGGGCGCCCCCAGCCAGCTAGTCCCCAGTGCGGAGCTGGGTGTCAGCTTTTGCCTTCCCAAGTGATGCACTTTGTGCTGGGCTCTGTTCAATTTCAGCTGGTCGATTTCAGATCTTTTCTCTCCTTTGTCAGGCATGGCTCCAGGTTCCAGGCCCCCCCAGCGCGGAGCAGGGACGACCCCCCTGCAGCAGGACTGTATCGGGTGGGGTCCACAAATCACCGGCACGTGGGACCTGCCATGACTATGGTCTGCTAGATTCAAAGCTGGATGGGGTGGGCAAATTTCATCCAGAGATTCCCCAACCTGAGCCCACTGAGAGCAAAGCTGGTGATCACGCCCATCCTTGCTCTCCTTAACATCTTAGTTCAGGGAGGCAACAGGCAAAGAACAGGTGAGACACCAAGCTGCCACCCACGCCCAAGGCACCGGCAAGGAATTGATTAGATGAGAGATGCCCAGATGATGCCAGCAGGTGACACGCATCCCCATGTTGCAGAGGAAGGCGGACTCTCCCCCCAAAAGTGTTCCTTCCTCGCCCCCAAACCTAGCCATCAGCTGAGTGCTTTGTAGCCACAGCCCTGCACCCACCCGAACCCAGCTAGTCTGGCTCAGTGAGCTCGTGGTGCCAGGCCCAGCTCTGGGAGCTTGGAGGTTTAGGAGACTCGGGACACCTCGGACGCTCCAGGGCCCATGGCCCATTTGGCTGGCGTGTTGCTCCCCCCCACCCCGATAGGTGCAATGAGCCTCTTCCGGCCAGCAAACCACTGCTCCAAAGGCAGCTGCTACCCTCCCCCTCAACCCCCGAGCATCTCATGGCCAATGTCTTTCCCTTGCGCTGCAGGCCACTCCCCCGGCGAGCAGAAACAGCCGCGGCGTCTGATCTGCTATCGGGATTTAATAGAAGGGCAGGAAATGAGTTTACCCGGCTCCGGGGATGCGGGAGGGACAGATCCATGGGGCTGAAACTACCCAAGGTGACTGCTACAAGCAGAGAGATCCCCCCCACTGCCAGTGAATTCAGCCCCTGCCTGCCCACAGCCACCAGTAACTCCCCCGGCGGTGTCGGCCTTCCACGGCCCGAGGGGACACCCCATTGATTCCAGGCCCATGCGCTGCAACGGGACAAGGCGAGGGGCACGTGGCTGTCGGGCTTTGCAGAACCGGGGAGGGACTTCATGGTGGCATGAACAGCTGGTGACGTGGGTGACAAACACGACACTGAGTTCTGCTAAGCCTGGTGTCTCCCCAAGGGAGCGGGAGATGGTGCCTTCAGAAACTCCCAGCCCAGATGTAGGCGCCACTCGGGTCCTCCCAGGCCAGAGAATTTCCACTCTGAGCTCCCTGCAGCCAGCCCTTATCTGATCGTCGAGCTAGCGCCAAGCTTTTAGAAAAATGCCCCATCTTGATTTAACGCCTCCTTCTGGTGGAGATGCCACCCTCTCCTCTGATGAGCTGCTGCCATGCTTAATTCCCCCGCCCTGTGAAAAATGTGCCCCTTATTTCTAAGCCTGAATTTCTCTGGCTTCAGCCCTGCTGAACCAGGTCCCTCTGTTGCAGAAATCTCGCCCCTGTGTACGTTCTTCCATGGTGGTTCTAAGGAGGAGCAGAAAGCTGGGAAACCCAGCACCGGAGGAAGGGAAGCATGGGGGCACTTGGGCAGATCCTTTAAAACTCTTAGGCCCAAATTTTCAAAAGTGGGAGGCTCCTAGAACCCGAATGAGGCTCTCAAGATCCAGTTTATAGGCAGGGTCAATCCAAATGGCGAGGGAGCCGAGCCGCGTCATTGGACTTGTGGAGCACTGAGAAAACTCAAGCCCTAGCGGCTGAATTAAGGATTTGGGCCCAGAGCCGCCAAGGTATTTCAACTGCTCTCGCCCCCTGGCCTCACTTTATGTGTGATCCAGTTTTGAGAGCTGGCCAAAATGTGGCAAGTAGTTTAAAGCTTGGCTGATGATTTTTTTCTTTCTTTTTTTTGCGGTGGGGGGTGTGTGTGGAAGAAAACCACAGCCACGCACAATGTTCCCCATCCGCGTCCACTGAAACAAAGGGACATTGGTGAGAATTTTTCACCGGCAGGGCAAACGTTTTCCACACGTCACACTTTTTTGTGATTTCCCCCCCAACCCCGGCCCCCTTTTTCTTGGGGAGGTTCTCATAGATTCCAAGGCCAGAACTGACATCTGTGATCAGCGTATCTGACCTCCCCACCCCCATATAGCCCCAGGCCAGAGACCTGCCCCGAAAGAATCCCTAGAGCAGATCTGTTAGAAAACCAGCCAACCTTGATTTAATAATTGTCGGTGATGGAGAATCCACCATGACCCTTGGGAAATTGTTCTGATGGTTAATTACACTCACCATTAAAAATTTACACCTTATTTTCCAGTCTGAATTTGTCTAGCTTTAGCTTCCAGGCATTGGACAACGTTAGACATTCCTCTGCTAGACTGAAGAGCTGGTATGATATATTTGTTCCCCAGGGAGGTCCTGATAGCCGGGGAACAAGCCACCCTGGACCTTCTCTCTGTGAAGCTAACGATATCGAGCTCCTGGAGTCTCTCCCTCTCAGGCGGGTTTTCTCACCCTTTAGACATTCTCCTGGCTCTTCTCTGACCCCTCCCCGACTGATCACCGTCCTTCCTGAATGATGGGCACCAGAACGGGAGACGGGATCCCAGCAGCGGTCGCCGCAGGCCCAGCTCCAGGGGTAAAATAACCTTGCTGCGCTTACTCGAGATTCCCCCGTTTTCACATCCCATGATTGCATTAGGTCTTTTGGCCCCAGTGTGGCACTGGGAGCTCCTGTTCTGCTGATTATCCACCCTTCACCCCCAAATCGTTGTCAGAGTCGCTGCTCCCCAGGAGAGGGTCCCCCAGCCCGTATGCACGGCCGACATCTCCGTTCCCACCTGGATACATTGGCAGTTAGCCCTATTACAACGCAGCTTGTTTGCTTGCGCCCAGTTTACCAAGCGATCCAGATCGGTGACCTGGATCAGTGACATGGCCTCTTCGGTACTCGCCACTCCTGCCATTTTTGGGTCACCTGCAAACTTGCTGGACGATGATTTTAGGTTTTCTCCCAGGCCGTTGACAGAAATGGTAAATAACGTTAGGCCGAGAACGGGTCCTAGAGGGACCCCACTGGAAATGCACCCAGTCGATGATGCTTCCCCAATGACTGTTACCTTTGGAGCTCTATCAGTTAGCCAGTTTTTAAGCCATTTATTGTGGGCCACATTCATTAGGCATCGTTCTAGTTTCTTAATCAAAATTTCATGCGGTACCAAGTCAAAATATTATATTGACACTATGACCTTTATCAACCAAGCTTGTAATCTCCGGAGAATCGGGGGGAAATTGATTTGTTTTGCGGGTTATCTTCCACCTTGTGGAGGGGAAATGTCCTCACAATGTTTTATATTGGGTGGGGGACATTCCGGTTACGTCTGAGGTTTTGGGCTGGAAAAAATTCATACCACAAAGGTGAAAAACACTGTGGTGAGAACTGGGTGGGTGAGCATTTCCCCCGACAGTGGTCCGTAGCATCCCAGAGCTGGACATACATGTGTGTGTGCGGGGGGAGATCTCTGTCAGCCGAGGATTTGGCTGAGGCATTGTCACTCTCAGCCCAGCGCCCATTGTCCGGCCAGGCCACGGCCTCCCCGACTGCGCCCACATGCCAATGACTGCTGCCCAGCCTGGGCCCCATCCGCATTCAGTCCAGTGGCGGGTGCATGGGCCAGACACGGGCCCCACCCCGCACTCACCCCAGCGGCGGGTGCATGGCCCGGAGGTGCCGGACCACCCACCGGTGCTCCCGGAAGCTCTTTCCGCACAAGGCGCAGCGGTGGGGGCGCTCCCCCGAGTGCCCCCGCCGGTGCTTGGCAAAGTTGGAGGCATTGTTAAAGCTCTTGGGGCAGACGGGGCTGCGGTGGGGGCGCTCGCCCGTGTGGATGCGCAGGTGGGTGGCCAGGGCCGAGGACCGGGTGAAGCGTTTGCCGAAGACCCTGCAGGCGAAGGGGCGCTCGCCCGTGGGCACCCACAGGTGCTCCTTCAGGTCGGTGGCCCGCTTGAACCGCTTGGAGCACACAAAGCAGATGTACTGCCGGGCATCAGGCGGGGGAGCGGGCAGCCTGCCATGTGGGGAATGGGCCCTGGGGCTCGGGCGCCAGGGAGGGGCATGGACTGGCTTGCCCTGGCCAGGAGCAGCAGGGCTTAGAGGCCAGGGAGGGGCATGGACTGGCACACCCAGCTCATGGGCATCAGGGCTCGGGCACAGTTGGGGTGCCCGGTCCAGCTTCTCCAGCAAGAAGCAGCGAGCACGACCACCCTCCTCTTCCTCAGCCACTCCCCCCGTCGTCAGCTTCCCCGCAGCCTGAGTCGCCGGGGGACAGCCAGGCACCCGTGCCAGGGACAGGGGAGCCCTGCTCTAGGTCTCGCTCCACTGCCAGATGCCGCCATGCCCCAGGGCACCGGCTTTCTGCCAGCCTCACTGCCGGCAGGGATGGGCAGGCACCGTTAGCCGGGAAGTCAGGCCCAGGGCCCCCGGCAGAGGACCCGAGGGGCACCCAAGTTAGCACCGGCCCCTTGGCATCACCGCCGCCATCTGGCAGCAGGTCCTTGGCGCACCCACCAGTGTCCCGCCGGCTCGGACGGGTCGGGGGGGAGCCGGTTTCACTGCCCGGGGGCTGGGCGTGGATGCGCAGGTGGCCGGTCAGCGCCGAGGACTGGGTGAAGCGCTTGCCGCACACCCGGCAGCGGTGGGGCGCTCGCCCGTGGGCACCCGCCCGTGGTCCCGCCGGTCCGAGGCACGCTTGAAACGCTCGGGGCAGAACGAGCAGGCATAGGGCTTAGCCGGGGGGCTGGCGCCCTGCCCGGTGCCCGGGCGTGACCGCGGGGGCGCGGCCAGCAGGGAGGGCTGGGCAGGGAGCGGGTGCGGCCCCGGGCGAGTGCGGCAGTGGGCACTGAGGCCACCGGCCCCCTCCTGGCCCAGCGGCTCCGAGACGTGTGGCTTGCCCATGCCCAGCAGGCACCCGGCTCCTTTCTCCTCCTCTTCCTTCTTCACCCTCACCCCCCGGATCTCCAGGGGCTCCCCCACCAGCCTGCGCTGCCCCTCATGGTGGCTGGGGTCTCTGGGCCGCCCCCCAACCCCTGCTGGAAAGAGGGAAAGGAAGGGTGTAAATACAAGGGAGAGACAAACAGGGATGGGAATAGAACCCAGGAGTCCGGGCTCCCAGCCCCCCCCCCTGCTCTAACCTCTGGCCCCACTCCCCTCCCAGAGCCAGGGAGAGAACCCAGGAGTCCTGGCTCCCAGCCCTTCATGTGAACCTGTGGGATGTTTGGGGGAACTGGCATGGGGGAGGGGCTGGGCCCCCACCCCCGGGGGTCCCCAGGAGCAGCCGGGCGTCGCAGCGGGGCAGACCCCCCCCCCCCGCAGCCCGGTCTCGGCGCTGGGTCCCGCACGGAGCAGGGGGCTCCTGGTGGGGAAGGGCCCCCCCCAACTGGGGTATCCCCGGCCCATTTAACCCCCGAGTGGCCGGGGAGGTCCCCAGCCCCATGCACTTCCCCCCCTTTGTCCCCTCACCTGGCCCGGCTCAGCACCGCCCCCCGCACTCCCCCTAGCCCCGGGCCGTCCCGCCCCTTTAAGAGCCCAAATCCCGGGATTTAAAGGGGAGGGCAGCGGAGATTTTCGTGTCTGGCCTTTCCTGTCTGCGGTCAAAAAAACAAACCTGCGTTGTTTTTCTTTAAAGCGACGGGGCGGGGGTCCCCCCAGCACCCGCCCCCCCGGGCTTTCCCTGACCGGGAAGGAACAGATACACCCTCCCCCTCCCGTTGGGCTGTGAAGGGCGAACCCAGGAGTCGTGACCCCCTCCCAGCCCCCCCTCCGCTCTAACCACTGTCCCCATTCCCCTCCCAGAGCCTGAGAGAGAACCCAGGTGTCCTGGCTCCAAGCACCATCCTGCTCTAACCACTAGCCCCCACTCCCCTCCCAGAGCCTGAGAGAGAACCCAGGAGTCCTGACTTCCCACCCCACCCCCCTTGCCGGCTCTAACCACTAGCCCCCACTCCCCTCCCAGAGCCTGAGAGAGAACCCAGGAGTCCTGGCTCCAAGCCCCTTGCTCTAACCACTGGACTCCACTCCTCTCCCACAGTTGGGGAGAGAACCCAGGAGTCCTGGCTCCAAGCCCCCCTGTTCTAACCCCCACAGATCTTAGGGGGGGTCTATGGGAGAACCGACATCCAAACCCAGCTCAGCTCTGCACCTCTAAGGCCAGCCCATGAGCCAGGCTGGTTCTCTGGCCCCCTCTAGTGGCTGGCGCACACACAGGGCATGTCTACACTGCACACTCAGCCTGGCTCCGACTCACATTTGAGCTGCAGCCCCCAGACAAATCAGCCCGACTCGGGTCAGCCAGCACTCAGGCCCTGGCTCCTAAGGCCCTGCTAGGGGGCCGAGGCAGAGCCCGCGTTCTGATGAGCCGCTGGTCCAAACCCTCTCTTCTGCAGTGTGGACACGTTAGCCTGGCTGAGAGCCACACCCAGCAGCCGTAAACTCAGGTTTCCAATTCAGTGTGGACATGCAGGCACGGGCTTGGCCACACCGAGTCCCAAAGACCTGGGTTCACAGAGCCGTGTAGATGCACCTTAACTGGCCCACACCCTCGATGGACATTTGAGAGGCCAGCCATCCTACCAAATAACGAAACCCACAATTTCTGGCAGGAATTTTTGAAAACCTGTTTACTTTTTATCAAAAGCCCCTGCTAAAAAGTTTGAGGGGGCTGCCCCCCCAAAAAAAACAAAACAACCAACATGCACCTGAAAAAATGGCCAGTGCTAAAGGAATTGGCGGCTGTGATTGCAAAGCCATTGGCCATTATCTTTGAAAACTCGTGGCGAATGGGGGAAGTCCCGGATGACTGGAAAAAGGCTAATGTAGTGCCAATCTTTAAAAAAGGGAAGGAGGAGGATCCTGGGAACTACAGGCCAGTCAGCCTCACCTCAGTCCCTGGAAAAATCATGGAGCAGGTCCTCAAGGAATCAATCCTGAAGCACTTACATGAGAGGAAAGTGATCAGGAACAGCCAGCATGGATTCACCAAGGGAAGGTCATGCCTGACTAATCTAATCGCCTTCTATGATGAGATTACTGGTTCTGTGGATGAAGGGAAAGCAGTGGATGTATTGTTTCTTGACTTTAGCAAAGTTTTTGACACTGTCTCCCACAGTATTCTTGTCAGCAAGGTAAAGAAGTATGGGCTGGATGAATGCACCATAAGGTGGGTAGAAAGTTGGCTAGATTGTCGGGCTCAACGATAGTGATCAATGGCTCCATGTCTAGTTGGCAGCTGGTGTCAAGTGGAGTGCCCCAGGGGTCGGTCCTGGGGCCGGTTTTGTTCAATATCTTCATAAATGATCTGGAGGATGGTGTGGATTGCACTCTCAGCAAATTTGCGGATGATACTAAACTGGGAGGAGTGGTAGATACGCTGGAGGGCAGGGATAGGATACAGAGGGACCTAGACAAATTGGAGGGATTGGGCCAAAAGAAATCTGATGAGGTTCAATAAGGATAAGCGCAGGGTCCTGCACTTAGGACGGAAGAACCCAATGCACTGCTACAGACTAGGGACCGAATGGCTAGGCAGCAGTTCTGCGGAGAAGGACCTAGGGGTGACAGTGGACAAGAAGCTGGATATGAGTCAGCAGTGTGCCCTTGTTGCCAAGAAGACCAATGGCATTTTTGGATGTATAAGTAGGGGCATAGCGAACAGATCAAGGGACGTGATTGTCCCCCTCTATTCGACATTGGTGAGGCCTCATCTGGAGTACTGTGTCCAGTTTTGGGCCCCACACTTCAAGAAGGATGTGGATAAATTGGAGAGAGTCCAGCGAAGGGCAACAAAAATGATTAGGGGTCTGGAACACATGACTTATGAGGAGAGGCTGAGGGAACTGGGATTGTTTAGTCTGCAGAAGAGAAGAATGAGGGGGGATTTGATAGCTGCTTTCAACTACCTGAGAGGTGGTTCCAGAGAGGATGGTTCTAGACTATTCTCAGTGGTGGAAGAGGACAGGACAAGGAGTAATGGTCTCAAGTTGCAGTGGGGGAGGTTTAGGTTGGATATTAGGAAAAACTTTTTCACTAGGAGGGTGGTGAAACACTGGAATGTGTTACCTAGGGAGGTGGTAGAATCTCCTTCCTTAGAAGTTTTTAAGGTCAGGCTTGACAAAGCCCTGGCTGGGATGATTTAATTGGGGATTGGTCCTGCTTTGAGCAGGGGGTTGGACTAGATGACCTCCTGAGGTCCCTTCCAACCCTGATATTCTATGATTCTATGATTCAGTCTTTGAAAACCATCTTTCATGCAAATGACCGGACCTGGGTTAGAAAAAATTCTGGTGCAAAAATTCTGGTTGTCAAAATGTTTGGGTCTTGAAAACTGACCGGACAAACAATTCGTTTGTGGCCCCAAGTTTCTCCTTTCGAATATTTTTGTTGCTCGGGGAAAGTCCCTGGGGATGAAAACTATTTTTAAGAAGATGGTTGGTGAGAACATGCTGGTTTTTCAGCAAAAGTTTTCTTGCTGTCGGGAAACCACTTGGAATCTCCTTCCTCAGAAGTCTTTAAGGCCCGGCTTGACAACGCCCTGGCTAGGATGATTTAGTTGGGGTTGGTCCTGCTTGGAGCAGGGGCTTGGGTGAACACCTCCTGAGGCCCCTTCCAGCCCTGATCTTCTGTGATTTTTAGTAAAATGGCAGTAAAAAAAAAGTGGAATAAAACATTGGGGAAAATGTGTGTTTCTGGTAAAATAAAGGGCACCTATCTTTTCGTTTCAAAACCTGGTTTCTCCAAACCTATTTTCAGTTTGGAAAATGTATTTTCTGATCAAAAGTTTGGGGATTTTAACCATGATTTTCAGTTGATGCAAACTGGGGTTTCCAAATGCAGCTTCAGTCACAGAAATTGTTTTTTAAACCACATTATCCGGCCAAACTTCTAATGAAAACCTGAATATTTTCACCCCCGAAATGTCAGTTTTCTTGGTCAAAACTCTCGGTCAAAAAAAAAAAGGATTTTGCCGGAAAATAACTTGGGTGAGAAATGGGTGGTAAAGATCCACTTGGGACCCAAAGCTGTATCTCGCCAGATGTACTTTTTGGTACCAAACCAGCCGCCGAGCTCCCCTCCAGCAATGAGCTGGACTCTATCAAACCCGCAGCCCCTGCCCTGTGGGAATTCGAACCCCAGCCCTGACACTTCATTCCACACACACAAAAACAACAACAAAAAAGTGTTTTAATTAATAATAATAATTAAAAAACCAAGAGAACGAAGATTCCACCGTAAATCGGAGCTGTGGAGGGGGAGCAGCTGGCCAGGCCGGGCACCTTGGAGTGATCTGGGCTGGGCGGCCTGTGGGTCCAGGTCTGTCCTTGGATTTCCTTCTCCGGGACCATCAGGAGGGTGGGAGTCCTTGTGGGGGGGGTCCAGCTCCCCTGCCTCCCTCTGCAGCCATTTGGGGGCGCCAGACCGAAAAACACTACGTGAAGATTGGTCCCAGTGCATGGTGGGCCTTCCGTGATGGCCCCCAGCTGTTGGCCACTGTTTGAGGTGGGATACCGGGGCAGATGGGCCTCTGGGACTGATCTGGGGGCAGGATACCAGGTTAGATAGGCCAGTGGGGCTGCTCCAGGGAGCAGGAGCAGGCCAGATACCGGGGTAGATGGGCCATCAGGAGCAATATGAGCCTATTTCTAGGGAATGTAGAATCACCACGACCCTCTATGGGGGTGGCCAGGACAACCCTCCTCCCCCCCAACCACTGGCTGTAGGACTGAGCTATTTGTGCCCTAGACGGGAAAGGCCCCGTGCCCCCATTCTCCGCTCCTCTGAGTCAGCCAGTCCCTGTCCTGGGGCCAGATGGGAGTTGGCGCCCCCTTGAGGGGAAAGGCCCTGTGCCCCATTCCCTGCCCCCTAGTGAATTACCACCCATAACCCCAGTATTTACCTAAGTGCTCCAGGACCCACATGGGCTCGGATTGGCCCGGTCCAGCCTGCCCTGCTCTATCTGCGAGGGGCACCCTCTGTCTTGGAACACCATGGGGGACATCTGTGGGGAGGCCAATGCCTTGGGCTGGGGTACAGGGGGGCTGCCCATAGGGGTACAGGGCACACCCCCTCCCCTAGACAAGGTGTGAGGGTACAGTAGGGACCACCATGCCCCCAGAGTCAGGGAGCCATGTGGATACAAGGGCTGCTGTGTGCTAAGCCATGGGGAGTTGCCAGTCTGGCTCCAGCGCTCCCCGTGCCCCTCAGGGCGGCGCCGGCCCGGCCGCGGGGCTCCCCGTGCCCCTCAGGGCGGCGCCAGCCCGGCCGCGGGGCTCCCCGTGCCCCTCAGGGCGTGGGCGCCGGCCCGGCCGCGGGGCTCCCCGTGCCCCTCAGGCTGGCGCCGGCCTGGCCGCGGGGCTCCCCGTGCCCCTCAGGGCGGCGCCGGCCCGGCCGCGGGCTCCCCGTGCCCCTCAGGGCGTGGGCGGCAGCCCGGCCGCAGGGCTCCCCGTGCCCCTCAGGGCGGCGGCCCAGCCGCGGGCTCCCCGTGCCCCTCAGGGCGTGGGCGGCAGCCCGGCCGCAGGGCTCCCCGTGCCCCTCAGGGCGTGGGCGGCGGCCCGGCCGCGGGCTCCCCGTGCCCCTCAGGGCGTGGGCGGCGGCTGCCGGTGCTTGCGGCGGATGTGCCGCTGGAGCGTGTTGCGCTCGCCGAAGCGCATGTGGCAGTCCTCGCACTGGAAGGGGCGCTCGCCCGTGTGCACCCGCTGGTGGTGGGCCAGCTCGCCGGCGTCGCGGAAGCTGCGCTGGCAGATGGGGCACTGGTGGGGCTTGCGCCCGGCGTGGGTGTACTTGTGCCGCTCCAGGTGGGACGTGCGCTTGAAGGCCTTGCCGCAGGCCCGGCAGACGTGGGGCTTGTGCTCCGAGTGGGTGATGCTGTGGCGCTGCAGGTAGGAGAGGTACTCGAAGGTCCGCGAGCAGACCGGGCAGCAGTACACCTTGCGCAGCCCCGCCCGCTCGCCCGCCGCGCCCGCCTCCTCCACCAGCACCGTGTAGGGCAGCCCCTGGCTGTCGATCAGCAGGTAGCGGCCGTAGCGCGCGGCCTCGCCCGGCTCCGGCCCGGCCTCCCCGGGGGGCCAGGGCGGGGCCCGGGGGGCACGGGGCCGGCCTGCCTCCTCGTCCTCCTCCAGCTTGAGCCGCCGCCCGGACGGCTCCTCCCGGGCCGGGGGCTGGTGCCGGAGGTCGGCGGCTCCGTCCCTGGGGGGCCGCGAGCCGAAGGGATGGAGATCCATGGGGCGGGCAGCACCCCCCGGCTGGCGGGAAAGCTCAGAGCGTCTGGAAGGAGAAACGGGGGGGAGGGGGGACAGTCAGCTGTGTGTCATAGACCCCGCACCATGTACGGGAGTCTCCGAGGGCTCAGATGGGGCCTTTTCCCCCTGGGGGGCGCCGGCTCCCATCCAGCCCCTGGATCCCAGCTCAGTTCCCAGTGGGGGAAGTAGCCTCCTACATCACCCCATGGCCACAGCAACACCTGCTGGCCCCTGGCACCCCCTCACTGCCCCAGTGCTCCCCTGCCCCCCCGCTACCACCCAATTGCCCCAGCTCACCCCCACTGCCCCCTCCTAGCCCCCTGCTGCCCCTGGCAGACACCCCCATCCCTGCTACCGGCACCCAGCTCCCGGGGATTTATTTACCTTTCCAGGCACCTGTGCCCAGCGTCCCGTCTCCGGGCTCATCGCGGCTCTGGTGCCCACACGGCCGGCCTGGCCAGCGCCGAGCACGGTGCCCTCAGCTCATCCTGCGGGTGCAGGGGGCAGCGCTGGGGCCGGCTCCGAACCAGGCCCGGGGAGGGATCCAGCAGCTCTGTCCTGGTTCCAAATGGGGGGCGGCACCGGTCCAAACCCGGCTGGATGTGGTGGTACCGGTCCGGTCCAGGCTGGGGCGGAGAGGCGATAGCGATCCGGACCCAGGTGGGAGTGCGGCACCGGTCCGGTCCAGATTGGGGGGCGGCACCGGTCCGGTCCGGTCCGGTCCAGGCTGGGGGGGCGGCACCTGTCCAGGCTCTACGAGCCCGGCGCCCCCCTGCGCCCCAGGGGCATGTGCCGCCCCCTGCGGGCTCTGGCGCCCTGTGACGGCCCCAGGTCCCCGCCGTGGCGGGGGGGGCGAGGGGGGGTCCCGTCTGTCTCTGTCCGTCCGCCCCTCCACCCGCAGCAGGAGCCGGTGTCGCTGCAAAAGGCGACCGGGTGGAAACGCCGCGCTCCAATCCGGCCCCGGACGCCTGGGTTCCGAGGCGAGGGAGGGGGGCAGATACCCCCACCTCAACCCCCGAGGGAAAACCCAGCCACACACTGACCGTGCGGGGGGGCGGGAATGTCTGACCCCAGGCAACTCCCCGTGTCAATCCCTCTGCATACACAGCCCAGCGCCTGAGAGAACCCAGGCGTCCTGGCTCCTAACCCCCCTCGCTCGAGCCACTGGACCCCACTCTGCTCCCAGAGCAGGGGACAGAACCCAGGAGTACTGGCTCTCAGCCCCCCTCCCCCAGCTCTAACCACTGGCCCCCACTCCCCTCCCAGAGCCGGGGACAGAACCCAGGAGTCCTGGCTCCCACCCCCCACCCCCGCTGCTCTAACCACTGGCCCCCACTCCCCTCCCAGAGCCGGGGACAGAACCCAGGGGTCCTGGACCCCAGCCCCTTTTCCCACTAGTTGAATGAACCAAAAGTATCTCTATTTCCCCCACTTTCTCTTTAGGGCATTTTCTCACTTGGCCGCACTGCGGCGGGGCGGCAGCTGCCCAGTGGGACCCGTGTTGAGTCCTTTCCAATTCACCTCACTACCTGGCGTGTCTTTCAGAGCAGAACAGTGAGCTGGATTGGGGTCAGTGCCCCCTAGAGGGGAGAGGCCCCGTGCCCCAATCCCTGCCCCCTCACCCCCCAGCCAGCCAGTCCCTGCCCTGGTTTGTCCGGGCCAAACAAACTCTCATTTGTGAGGTTGGTTGCTTGGAAAGGATTTTCTCTAGAGATTCGTCTATTCCCTTGAGCAGGGGGTGTCAGGGACACACCCACACCCACACAGAGCAGGGCCCAGCCCCTGTAGCAGGGGGTGACACACCCACACAGAGCAGGGCCCAGCCCCTGTAGCAAGGGATCTCTCACACACACACACACACACACACACACACACACACACACACACACACACACACACACACACACACACACACACACACACACACACCAGGGCTCCTCCCCGCCACTTTGGGCTAGTTTGCTCTTGTAACTTTAATATTGTTTCTTGTAGAAGCCACTAGCCCCCCTTTCCCTGTGGAATCGCGTCCCCGAGGCCCGCGGGCTCGTCCCCGTCCCACGTCTTTGTTCTGCTGCTCTCACCCTTTGCCTTTCACCCGATCATTTTGCGATCACGTTCCTGTCCACCGTTCGGCTCTCAGCCAGGTCCTCCCTGCGTGTCAGCCTTGAAACCCCTCCCTCCCCCCCACACTTCCGTCCTCCACCCTGAGAAACAAAGGAATTGTCCCCAATGCCATCCAAGATCTCGGACGCTCCGTGTTGTCTTCTGGAGGGGTCAAAGTCCCTGATTCCTAACAGGTCCAGTGCTTTGGATACGTCTGTTATTGGCTCTAAAAATGTCTCGCCTACCTCCTTATTTGGTGGCCTGTAGCTAGATCTATGTATCAGCAAATGTTGGAAGACATCAATCTCTCCACACATGGCTGGACCCAGGAAGAACTACCTCCATGGATATTCATCGCAGTTTCTGCTAGGCCCAGTCAGCATCCGGCTGCTGGAGGGCTTGGTCGGGTTTGATAAGTCGCTGGTACATTTCGACATGGGCTGGTGACCAGTGGCGGTGTAAAGCTTCACGTTTTGAATCTCAGCGTCTGCCGTTGTTAAATCATGATTGTCTGACCCTCCCCGTTGTCTGACACCCCCCCCCTTAATTTCCCGCAACTTTTAAAACGCAAATAGATAAAAACGGGGGCGGGGGTGGGGGGAAGAAATGTTGATGCAATCCGCTGAGATTATAACGAAATAAACATCGAATTTGGCCCTGCCTAGCTAGAGCACAACCCTACCACCACATTGGCCCTGGTTTCCACTTCCTCGTTTTATCTTCACCCAGAGAATTTCAGCATCTCTGCCTCTCTCCAATCTTTGGATCGCAGAGCAAGTGTACACGTTCTTGAGATGCAATACAGCATTTCCCCCCTTCTTGCAATGCCTGGCCTTCCTCGACCAGCTGTACCCCTCGATTTCGCTATTCCAGCTGGCTGCTCTCACCCACACGTCTCCGCAATGCCGGCTGAGTCAAGAAGGGTCAGAGAAGAGTCACAGGAATGATTAAAGGATCAGAAAACTGGTTGAAGAGTGACAGACTCCAGGAGCTCAGTCTATTTAGCTTAACAAAGAGACCGTTCAGGGGTGCCTTGATCCCTGGCTATAAGTACCTACAAAAGGAACAAATATTTAACAATCGTCTCTTCAGCCTAGCAGACAAAGGTCGAACACAATCCAACAGTTGGAAGTTGAAGAGATCTGCTCTAGGTGTTATTGTGGGGCAGGTCTCCGGCCCAGGTTCTACACAAGGTCAGACATGATCAAACTGCTCCCTTCTACCCTGGGAAGCTGTGACTCTCGGCTCTGAAAGAGGTTGGATTTGATGTTTGAGTTTTGGCTCTGTAGTTCCCCTAGAAGCGGGCAAAGGCCCGGCGTTCAGGCTCGCTGTCAGTTCTGAAAAGTTGCAGGGTGGGGGAATCACCCTGTGACATGTCAGTCCATATGCTTTCTGAAAATATGCTTATGATATAAATATGCCATAACTGAGATGTACTTTATGCCAGATGGCGCACGTGATTGGAAAGGTGATGATTTACTGAATGTGATTATCCTATTTGTATGCCTGGATCATTTCTGCAAAAAGAAAAGGGGAACTTGTGGCACCGTAGAGACTAACCAATTTATTTGAGCTTT